CTAGTACGAGTCTAGAGGTTCCAGTACGAGTCTAGAAGTGCTAGTACGATTCTAGAGGTGCTAATACGAGTCTAGAGGCGCTAGTACGAGTCTAGAAGTGCTAGTACGAGTCTAGAGGTGCTAATACGAGTCTAAAGGTGGTAACACGAGTCTAGAGGTGTTAATACGAGTCCAGACGTGCTAGTACGAGTCTAGAGGTGCTAATAGGAGTCTAGAGGTGCTAGTACGAGTCTAGAGGTGCAGGTACGAGTCTAGAGGTGCTAATTCGAGTCTAGAGGTGCAAGTACGAGTCTAGAGGTGCAAGTACGAGTCTAGAGGTGCTAGTACGAGTCTAGAGGTGCTAGTACGAGTCTAGAGGTGCTAATACGAGTCTAGAGGTGGTAATACGAGTCTAGAGGTGCTAATACGAGTCTAGACGTGCTAATACGAGTCTAGAGGTGCTAATACGAGTCTAGACGTGCTAGTACGAGTCTAGAGGTGCTAATACGAGTCTAGAGGTGCTAGTACGAGTCTAGAGGTGCTAGTACAAGTCTAGAGGTGCTAATACGAGTCTAGAGGTGCTAGTACGAGTCTAGAGGTGGTAATACGAGTCTAGAGGTGCTAGTACGATTCTAGAGGTGCTAATATGAGTCTAGAGGTGCTAGTACGAGTCTAGAGGTGCTAGTACGAGTCTAGAGGTGCTAATACGAGTCTAGAGGTGGTAATACGAGTCTAGAGGTGCTACTACGAGTCTAGACGTGCTAATACGAGTCTAGAGGTGCTAATACGAGTCTAGACGTGCTAGTACGAGTCTAGAGGTGCTAATACGAGTCTAGAGGTGCTAGTACGAGTCTAGAGGTGCTAGTACGAGTCTAGAGGTGCTAATACGAGTCTAGAGGTGCTAGTACGAGTCTAGAGGTGCTAGTACGAGTCTAGAGGTGCATTTACGAGTCTAGAGGGGCTAATACGAGTCTAGTGGTGCTAGTATGAGTCTAGAGGTGCTAGGACGAGTGTAGTGGTGCTAGTGCGAGTCTAGAGGTGCTAATACGAGTCTAGAGGTGCTAATAGGAGTCTAGAAGTGCTAGTACGAGTCTAGAGGTGCTAGTACGAGTCTAGAGGTGCTAATACGAGTCTATTGGTGCTAATACGAGTCTAGAGGTGCTAACACGAGTCTAGAGGTGTTAATACAAGTCCAGACGTGCTAGTACGAGTCTAGAGGTGCTAATACGAGTATAGAGGTGCTAGTGCGAGTTTAGAGGTGCTCATACGAGTCTAGAGGTGCTAGTACGAGTCCAGAGGTGCTAGAACGAGTCTAGAGGTGCTAATACGAGTCCAGAGGTGCTAGTACGAGTCTAGTAGTGCTAGTACGAGTCTAGAGGTGCTAATACGAGTCCAGAGGTGCTAGTACGAGTCTAGAGGTGCTAATACGAGTCTAGACGTGCTAATACAAGTCTTGAGGTGCTAGTACGAGTCTAGAGGTGCTAATACGAGTCTAGACGTGCTAATACAAGTCTGGACGTGCTAGTACGAGTCTAGACGTGCTAATACGAGTCTAGATGTGCTAGTACGAGTCTAGAGGTTCTAGTACGAGTCTAGAGGTGCTAATACGAGTCTAGAGGTGCTAATAGGAGTCTAGAGGTGCTAGTACGAGTCTAGAGGTGCTAGTACGAGTCTAGAGGTGCTAGTAATAATAGTGGTGGTAACATGGGTTTAACATGGGTTTAATAATAGTGGTGGTAACATTGGTTTAACAATAGTGGTGGTAAGATGGGGTTAGCAATAGTGGTGGTAACATGGGTTTAACAATAGTGGTGGTAACATGGGTTTAGTAATAGTGGTGGTAACGCGGGTTTAGCAATAGTGGTGGTAACATGGGTTTAATAATAGTGGTGGTAACGCGGGTTTAACAATAGTGGTGGTAACATGGGTTTAACAATAGTGGTGGTAACATGGGTTTAACAATAGTGGTGGTAACATGGGTTTAACAATAGTGGTGGTAACATGGGTTTAGTAATAGTGGTGGTAACATGGGTTTAACCATAGTGGTGGTAACATGGGTTTAACAATAGTGGTGGTAACATGGGTTTAGTAATAGTGGTGGTAACGCGGGTTTAGCAATAGTGGTGGTAACATGGGTTTAATAATAGTGGTGGTAACGCGGGTTTAACAATAGTAGTGGTAACATGGGTTTAATAATAGTGGTGGTGACATGGGTTTAATAATAGTGGTGGTAACATGGGTTTAATAATAGTGGTGGTAACATGGGTTTAGTTATAGTGGTGGTAACAGGGGTTTAATAATAGTGGTGGTAACATGGGTTTAACAATAGTGGTGGTAACATGGGTTTAGTAATAGTGGTGGTAACATGGATTTAACAATAGTGGTGGTAACATGGGTTTAACAATAGTGGTGGTAACATGGGTTTAATAATAGTAGTGGTAACATGGGTTTAATAATAGTGGTGGTGACATGGGTTTTAATAATAGTGGTGGTAACATGGGTTTAATAATAGTGGTGGTACCATGGGTTTAGTTATAGTGGTGGTAACAGGGGTTTAATAATAGTGGTGGTAACATGGGTTTAATAATGGTGGTGGTAACATGGGTTTAGTTATAGTGGTGGTAACATGGGTTTAACAATAGTGGCGGTAACATGGGTTTAATAATAGTGGTGGTAACATGGGTTTAATAATAGTGGTGGTAACATGGGTTTAATAATAATGGTGGTAACATCGGTTTAATAATAGTGGTGGTAACATGGGTTTAATAATAGTGGTGGTAACATGGGTTTAATAATAGTGGTGGTAACATGGGTTTAATAATAGTGGTGGTAACATGGGTTTAATAATAGTGGTGGTAACATGGGTTTAATAATAGTGGTGGTAACATGGGTTTAGTAATAGTGGTGGTAACATGGGTTTAACAATAGTGGTGGTAACATGGGTTGAACAATAATGGTGGTAACATGGGTTTAATAATAGTAGTGGTAACATGGGTTTAATAATAGTGGTGGTGACATGGGTTTAATAATAGTGGTGGTAACATGGGTTTAATAATTGTGGTGGTAACATGGGTTTAGTTATAGTGGTGGTAACAGGGGTTTAATAATAGTGGTGGTAACATGGGTTTAATAATAGTGGTGGCAACATGGGTTTAGTTATAGTGGTGGTAACAGGGGTTTAATAATAGTGGTGGTAACATGGGTTTAATAATAGTGGTGGTAACATGGGTTTAACAATAGTGGTGGTAACATGGGTTTAATAATAGTGGTGGTAACATGGGTTTAATAATAGTGGTGGTAACATGGGTTTAATAATAATGGTGGTAACATGGGTTTAATAATAATGGTGGTAACATGGGTTTAATAATAGTGGTGGTAACATGGGTTTAATAATAGTGGTGGTAACATGGGTTTAATAATAGTGGTGGTAACATGGGTTTAATAATAGTGGTGGTAACATGGGTTTAATAATAGTGGTGGTAACATGGGTCTATTAATATTGGTGGTAACATGGGTTTAATAATAGTGGTGGTAACATGGGTTTAATAATAGTGGTGGTAACATGGGTTTAATAATAGTGGTGGTAACATGGGTTTAATAATAGTGGTGGTAACATGGGTTTCATAATAGTGGTGGTAACATGGGTTTAATAATAGTGGTGAAAACATGGGTTTAATAATAGTGGTGATAACATGGGTTTAACAATAGTGGTGGTAACATGGGTTTAATAATAATGGTGGTAACATGGGTTTAATAATAGTGGTGGTAACATGGGTTTAACAATAGTGGTGGTAACATGGGTTTAATAATAGTGGTGGTAACATGGGTTTAATAATAATGGTGGTAACAGGGGTTTAGTAATATTGGTGGTAACATGTGTTTAACAATAGTGGTGGTAACATGGGTTTAACAATAGTGGTGGTAACATGGGTTTAGTAATAGTGGTGGTAACATGGGTTTAACAATAGTGGTGGTAACGCGGGTTAGTGGTGGAGGTCACGCGACTGTGAGCGGCCCAGGACAAAAAGTTTCGCACGGGGCTTTGACGTCTGAAAGGGACAGGCGAGTCACGTGAGAGCGCGCTGGCGTGCCGACTGCTGCCCCTGCTGCTGACACTTGAGACGGGAGTTCAATTGTTTTGAACAGCTTTAATGCCTCGTACACAGTCCTTGGCACACTCTGCGCACGAGGAACGGAAAATGCACACGTGGCCAGGGTCAACACACGAACGAACGACCAAGACACGCCACTGCACATGAATACCGCCACCGCCGCCACCACTCCGAATGCAACACACGCGGTGGACACACACAAACACATTGCGTTTAACGCACGTGCACACATTCACGCGTGCGCAGCCCTCCCAGGACACCTTTACCCGCGGCCTTCAGGACATCTCACGCAACGTGTACAAACGCACTCCCATCCCCTCCCCCGATAACCGTCTCTCACGCGCGCGTGTGTACACATCCCGTGCGCGTGTACACATCCCGTGCGCGTGCGTGCGTGCGTGCACGGACGTCGGCGTGCGGGTCTAGACAATGACAAAGATCCCCCGTATAGCCTTAACAGACTGTAGGGGCAAGTGCTGTTAGCGAGCTTACCTATGAAGGCCCGGAACGGTACACGACTGGGTGGGGTGGCCAGCACCACGCCCGACCGCCTTTTCATCCCGAGTGATGATGTTTATACACCGCACCAGGTACCCATTTGGGGCTGAGTCGACCTAGGGGAGGCCCAAGCCCGGTTCAAATAATCGTCGCTGTGGTGTTGGCCGTAAGCGGGAATCGAACCCGAGTCGCCGGGTTCATAGCGCAGCGTAGCGCTAACCGCTACACTACCGCTCCCCTAGACACACACGCGCACACGCGCGCGCGTACGCACAGACGCACACCGTTTCACGTGTAACGCGCTGCCTCGAACCCCCCCCCCCGTACCCCGCCCCTGCTCCGCCTCTGTTCCCCTCGCTCCTACCCGTCCCGGACCGATCGCATCCTCTCCGCCGCGAGACGAGCGCACAGAGCGAGAAGAGAGACAGAGAGAGCCGGGGGCTTCCTCCAAGGGGTTCACGACCGCGCCTCGCCAGCCCCGCAAAGCCCGCGAGCCCCATCATCTCCTCCTCGTCTTCCTCCTCCTCCTCCAGCCGCATCAGCAACGGCCGCAGCTTGTACCCCGGTAAGTGGCAACCAAGGGGAGGTCCTCCTCTGGGTAGCCGTACCCCCACTTGCTCCGGGAGCTTGCGTTATCGTTGGTGGCTGATGTTGGTTGTGGTTGCTGCTGCTGCTGCCGCTGTTGCGAGAAGTCAATCAAATACCGTGCGGCTGTGCGGGATGGGTGGTACGGCAGGCGGGCAAGGCGATGGGGAGAGTCGGCTTCTCTCTCCCTGCCAGTGTGAGTGAGTGAGCCAGGGGTTCGGAGCGATTGTGAGTGAGTGTGCTTGTCCGCGATGGGTGAATCGGGTGCGAGTTGGAGAGGGCGCGTGTGATTGCGAGTTAAGTTGAGTGGGTGAATTAGTGTGAGCGAGTGTGAGTGACTTTGAGTGTCGATGAAGGTGAGCGTGCGGATGAGCGTGTGTCTAGGAAGGTGTGAGTGGGTAAGTGTGAGTGAGTGTGCGTGAGTGTCTGTGAGTGCAGTGTGTGTGTACGAGTGAGTGTATCACGCGTGAGTGTGGATCGGTTTCTGCGTGTGTTCGTAAGTGAATGTCTGAGTCAGTGACTGCTGGTATCATTGAATGAGTCAGTGATTGAGTGTGTCTCTGCGTGTGTGTATGATTGATTAAATGTGTGTATGTATGTATGTGTCATCCCTGTATCTCTGTTCGTGTGAATGTCCTCTGTGTGTGAGAATATTTCAGTGTGAGTTGTGTCTGTGTGTGCATTAGTGTGCGTTTATTGGTGTTGGGATGATTCTCTGTATTCGTGTAAGTAACATATGTGTTTTGATTTAAAGCTTTCGTGACTACAGTGAAGGGAAACAATAAAATAATCATATATAAAATAATATATATTATTATTATTATTATTTTGTTTCCCTTCAACGTGACTTTACCGAAAGAACCAAGAATATAACATATGTGTCTGTATGTACGTGTGTAAGTGTATCTGCGCCTGTGTGAGTGTGCTTTTGATTGTGTGTGCTCGATTGCATCTATTTATGTGTGTGTCCCTTTTATCAGTGTGTGTGTGATGTAGTGTGTCAGTGTGTTTGTTATTGTGTGAATGTGTGTGTGTGTGCTTGAGTGTTGGAACGGTACTGCGCCACGAACCCCGGCGACCCGAGTTCGATTCACGCTCACGGCCAATATCAATGGCGAATAATTGAACTCAGTCTCCAATGAGTACCTGGTGTGTAAACATCACCACTGGGAAGACAAAGGCGTCCGGGCGTGGTGTTGGCCACCCCACCCATTTTATGCCGTTCCTGCCATCATAGGTGTTCGCGAGCAGCACTTGCCCCAAACGTCTGCTCAGGCTATGTATTTTGCATTTGTGAGTGTGTGCGTGTCCGTATCGGTGTGCTCATGCTTGTTTGAGTGCTGTCTGGTTGCGTGTGTGACAATGTGTCAATGATAATTATTAAAGTGTGTTAATATGAGTTATTAATTGTGTGGTTACACATTTCCACGCTGTTGCTATACTTGATGTTTGAGGAGTGTGAGTGGTAATGGAGTAGCATCTTAGTGGTGGAGGTGCCATTCCCTTACACGAGAAGCCACAAGGAGCGTCTTGGCTCCAGACTGAGCACAAACACAGCCCCAGTCGCTTACCATGCGCACCTGTCACGTGTGAAAATTATCCACTCTGCAGATTACTAATGGCAATCATTACGGGAAGTAAAGTTTTGGTGCACATTAAGCAACATTCATTACAAACATTGATCTTCAGTCAGAACAAATAACGTCTGGCAAGTGTTCATGCTATTATTTCATCTGTACAGCACGATTTTAATTATGTTAAAGCATTATTCCAATATGTTATATTTCGAAATGGTGTTTCGTAATTGTCATATGTATTAATGCGAGCGGCAGGTATTTAATACATTAAGAAAGTTTGGTTGAACAATGTTCCATATTTATAATTAGTTAAAACGCTCACGCGTGCGTGATCACTCCACGTAATGAGAACTATCCGAAGCTTCTGATGAAAGAGAAGGCTTCCAAAACGCTTGAGGAAATGTGTTAAACCATATATATATTTTAAATTTTAAACACAAAGCAAACACGTTATGGTGTGCTATTACCCAAATTGTTCTCAACAGCTGACACCTGTTATGCTACTGATAACAAAAACAAGAGGCCTGGCATTGTATTTTGGTCAAAACTGGTTACCAATGACTTAGTATTGAATGGAATAAGTTTGTTATCGGGCAGATATAACGTCGAGTATGAGCACACCATGTAAAGGCCATGCTAACGCGGTGAGAAGTTTACTCGTGAGCTGGAAACTTTTAACAAAAACAAAACCCATCGTCGTGGCACGGGCCTCAGCTCGCGGAGGGCCTCGCTCAGCCTCAGCACACATTTGGAGGCCGAGTTTGTGATGCAACACTCAGTTAATTATCAACATGCCCAGCAGCAACATTTTCTCACTGGGCCTCTTTCACAATTGCCCAACTGTTTGCAAATTAGATTTGACTTGCTAATGACGGCCTCTTGTCTGAACAATGCCACTGTGGTTCTCTGGAAACGGGCTGCGGAGTTAAACCAGAGTGTGTAACAAGCTCGCCAATGTTATCACGGGTCGAAATCCTCCTCCTCCTCTTGAAGAACCGGTGCTGGTGAACTCCGGTTTGCGAGGTGGATTGTCGTTCCACGCCACCGAAGCGCATTGCTGCTGCACTTTAACGTTGCTATTGCACTTTGACATCACCGTTGCACGCCGCTGCACATTTCAACCTTCGCGAGTGCACGTTGGTCACAGTGGCTGCTGTTGTTGGAGCAGCAGCAGCCACGGACTGCTGCGTCTCTGGCCACGAGGCTTTTCTGGATCTGGCAGCCGGTGTGCCGGTGGGGAGCAAGCCTTGAGTGTCGACAGTTAGTCTCTCCATGTAGGCGTGAGGCGATAATGGGATTAGGTGCAGATTTAGTTGCAAAGATGATGCAGTAAGACCTTTTTTTTTGGGGTAGAAATCAATTTTCCCAACTAAAGTGCATTATGCCATGGTGCATTAATGTATTAGCCGTGGCCATAAAAGTGTTGTGAAATCCAAGATGTTTTTAATAACACGCCGGCGGTGTGATTACGATGGCCTGCCACTTGCGTGTGGGATTCGTGCACCGGGATAGTCTCGGGCCGTGCGGCGTAAGACATGTCGAGTGACGTGGGGCCCTGAGTGTGGACAACGCGCACCGTGTTGACGGGGGCCCCTGCATCGTAACGCTCATCGCGTGGGCAAATATAAACGGCGTAAAGATGCCTATTACCGTTTTGTTTGGTGAAAGAAGGCGCTAATGAGCTCGTTTTTTTACAACATGCTCCTGTATGTGAATGCGTTACCTCTAATTCAGGGCAAGTCGTGTGTTCACGCGCTCGCAATCACTGCTCAGTATTTGATGTGCCAGTACAATTTTAATTATTATTAATCGGTCGTTAGGCTATACGGCACCCTAATATGGTAATGATGATCACTATTACTGCAGGTGACAGATATAGCCTGTGCTAATTTCCGTGATAAATTACACATTTCTCAGAGAGGAGGAGGAGGAGGAGGAAGTCTGCGGTAAGGCTGGCTCTTTGCTTCTTGCTCAAAGTGCACTCACACCGAGGTGTACAAGCGGTTACTCTGATCGGAGTGTGGCTCTTTGTGCCCAAACCATTTTCCACATGCGCAGAAAATTATCCTGACGGCGGTACCCCGAGGTACCAAATAATACAAAATGGGCCGAGGCAATTAAATATTGTATTTCTGGGACGCAATTTTTTTTTCCAGGGGTGTTACTTCACTCCGCGACGACTGGGGTGACCAATCAATCCGAAATCGGCGCGACTCCACGAAGTCGAAACGCAGCGAGGACGATTTCTCTGAAACCCCGAACGCTCGCACGCACCGTGGTGGTGCATCGTGAGTACGGCTCGTCGAGATGAGTCGATTGCCGCGTCGCCGACCATCAACACAGACTAAAAGTGACTGTCTTCTTGGTTCTTTCGGTAAAGTCACGTAGAATTGAAATAAAATGATAAAAATATAACATAATAAAATAAAAATGCTCACGACGTTTCGGCCACAACACAAGTAGCCTTCCTCAGGTGAAGAGACAGAGCTGTCGGGAAGACAACGCTTCAGTGAACACAGCCAGGCTTTGGCCGCGTCTTTAAGCTGGGTGGAGGAGCAGAGCGCCTTGACCAAGGAGTTTACATATCAACGGAAGAATTTAGCATTGAAGTAGCTGTGTTAATGTGTTGGATTAGCATGATGTTAAAGTCAGAAATTAGCATGTAACTGGGGGATTAGCATGATGTTTGTGTGAGGGATTAGCATGTAACTATGTCGTAACTATGTCGGAAAAAGTGGCGGTTTCTATTTTTATTTTCAACGTGAGCACCACCGTGGTTAGCACCACGGAAAGCGACGAGCTTTGTTCAGGCGGACGAGTCCATCGATGCTCGGAAAGTGACTGCATCACGGACATTATGTGAGAGCCGGGTCACTATGGTACCCCGGAGTACCGCCATAAGGTTAAAATGTCAGGTGAAGTCTGTGCATCCCCAGCCGAGATAAACTTCCACTGATGCTGAAGAGGAGTCTAATTGTGTGTGCGAATGTGTATATATATGTTTGTTAGTACCAATGATATGAAACATTGTATGCCGTTTGTGCATAGGTTTATACCAGGGGAAGTGAAACGGCTAAGATAATGAGGGGCACATACATTTCGTGATATGACATATTTGGCTTGTATTTCAGAATCACAATATTTATTTTTACTGAAGGAATCCGATCAGTTATAAAGCTCTTTTTTTACAGATGTACAGATTTTGAAGCCGAGTGTCAATATATTAAGCACTCAAGAGACTTATCACACTCGCTGCATTCGGACAAAGTATCATAACTGTGTTTTCTAATTGTGGCCGTTTTACAAAAGTTTTGACCCTTGCTCACATAGTTTCTGCATGCATACAATAACACGGTGGTGTTTCGGAAGCTTATTTAGTGACGATGCAAAGGTTAATGAAAGT